CTCAGACGAGTTAGCAATGCCCAGGTTGCTAACTCGGTGGCAAGATAACAAAAGGCCCAGCCAGCTAGGTGACGTCAAGGGCAAGCTTACACTAGGAACTTTAATGATAATAACCTGAACATTTTTACTTGGGAAGATAAAATTGCCACGAAAAATTGAGATTAACGGGTTTTTCTTGAAACTGAGCATTCGTAAGGGCTTTTGGGTGGGTTGTGCTCTGGGTAGGTGTGGGGCACTAACTGCAACGTCACCCACTGCTCACACGTGAGAGAAAGACGAGGCTGGCTGCTACGGTAAAGATTCAGTCTTGGACACCCTAGATAGGGTGGCCGAGTCGGGATTCACTGGCAGTGGGTTTGGTAGTGCAAAGGTAAGTGTTCCCTTTTAACTGGTGATAAAGGAAAAGATCTAAATGAACCGTCCATGCAGCCACAAGGAGCAGCTATCTTTGGTGGCATCCATTAAAAACTTTTTTTTTGAAACTTTTCATTGTGAATTAGGCGGAGGTTGACAGGGCAGATCATCCGTTTTACACTCAACAATTCATCCACTGGGCTCACCCATTTCCTCCCTCAATTGTTCCCATTTTCTAATTGGTTCCTTTTCTAACCCTGTGAACTGTTTCCTTGGGCAGATGCTTTCCACATTTATTTTTAAAATAAAAAATTTATTGTATTTGGTGCAAGTTTACACAGCAAATTATGATCATTTGATCTTTTTATACAAATAGTTCAGTGACAGTAGTCTTCGTAACGTGTCAACATTCTCTTGATTACACTCAGGTGGCTGTTTCCAGTGCTCTGGTTTGAGGCCCTCTATCTTCTCATCTTTGCTCTAGTTACTGTGGACCTTTGGCCTCAGAGATGGATTTATAACAGAGCACTGTGCTCTTTATTTTGCAAGCCAGTCTGTTATTTCACTAAAGGATCATCTGGGGGTGGGGGATGGCACCCATTTGGATGTGTGCTAATGACAAGCATGGTGTTCTCAAGTTCATGGCTTCATTAGTCACTGTCTCAGAACTCCTTCTCTGAGTTCTGCTTCAGGCCTTATGAATAAACTGTCCCATTCACCTTGCTTCTCCAGCCCAACACTTTTTCTTGAACACTCTCCAGGTAGTACTAATCATGCCTTCTATTTCACTAACAAAAGATGCCGATAGGGTTAAGACACCTTCAAGAAACTAAGGGGCCCCAATGGTACCGTGGTTAAGTACCTGGCTGCTGAGTCTCACTGCCATCATGTCAATGCTGACTCGTAGCAACCCCCTGTGGGGTTCTGAGACTAACTTTCTCCCATGCTGCTGCTGCTGGTTTCGATATCCTGACCATGCCCAACGTCTAATCACTGCACCAATCCATTCCACGACTCCATGGGAGAAAAGACCTGGCAATCGGCTCCCGTGCAGATTATTGCCTAAGAAACCCTAAGGGGCATGCGTGTTCTATTTCATCATATAAGATCATTATGAGAAACAGCTCAATGGCACACACAAGAAGTTTACTACTCCAAGTGTGGTTTATGGGCAAACAGTATCTGTCACTTGGGTTCATGTTGAGAAACTCAGATTCCATCCAGACTTGCTGGAACAGAAGTCACACTTTCACTTTTCTGGAAGCCTACCTACATTTTCCTCCGCGGGAGTTGAATGAGAAGCGGTACGCCACTTTCAGTACCTGCCGTCATTTGGTGGGGGCCTCTATGAACAGCATGAATCTGAAGAAATGGGCCTCATACCAAGAAGCCCAGTAGCAAGACCCCATTATTCTTATCAAAATCTATTATCTAGAAAGATTTTTACTTCATTCAAAATATTTTCCCTTACTGCAAATATTGTTTCAACAACACATTTATCTAAAGTAGAAAATAATCCAGTCTTAAAAAGGTTAATGAGCATCAGTTCAACCGTATACACATTAAAGATTGAGCAGCACTGCCACATATTAATGAACAAATAATTCTGCTCCTCTGGTACGCCTTTTTCCTTAAATTATTGTGAACAAAGCAGCACAAATCTGATCCTTACACTCTCCTGCTTAGAACCTTCCATTCGATTACCTTTGTAATCAGAACAAAATCCCAATTCCTCACCAGGGTCCACATGGCTCCGAGCTAACTGCCACTGGCGTTTTCCCTTCAGATTGTTGGTACAATGGGCTTCTGACATTTTCCCCAGAGCTCTTTCTTCCATCAGAGTTCACACATCTTGTTTTGTCTCCTCTCCAACATCCTGCCCCTATCCTAACTTAGCTCCACAGCCATTCAAGTCTTGCCTTCAACACAACTTCCTCAGGGAAGCCTTTGCTGCTCAGACAGGCAAGGCTAGCTCTTCCGTTTGTTGAGGACAATTGTGGTTAACAAATTATTTTGTAATTCTAATTACAGAATTCTTTAATTCTGTCTAATGTTCTGTCATGTCTTTTTGGGAACATTTTATTGTGCTTTCGGTGACAGTTTAGAGCAAATTAACTCTCCACTCAATAGTTCCCACACCAATTGTTTCACTGCCATAGATTTTTAACTTTAGTAGGCATTCAGTATTGAGAAATAAATGAAACGTTCCCTACCAACGTTCCCTTGACAAGAGTGCTTGGCAAACAGCTTTAAACCACATGGTCTACTGGTTGGGTGATTCAGGTCATCACTGAGTCCCCCCTCTCAATGTTCATGCTTTGTTCGCCATCTCCCACATTCCAGTATCCGTTTTTCACTAGATACCCTACTTCAAGGTCCAATGGTATGAGCAAGTCTGGGAGCCTCCATCAAAATCAACAGGTAGTCAGGCCTACCAATCTGATTTGGAAAGGTCACTGGATTTGAAAATCCCAACGGAGCATTTCAACTCTGTACAAATGGGGTTGTCATAAGGCAGAAGAGATTGAAAGCAACTAAAACCAAGCCCTCATTGTCCTCAGGACCTCAGCATGGAAGCCTCAGTGGTTTGGCTGAAAAATAACTAGTTACCTATTTCCATCAATCTCAACTGTTAACTGGCACAAGGCTGTGTGTTTTGGAGGTTAGGAAGAAGATGGTGCCGTGGAAGGCAGTTAACTTTTAGGACATCAATCACCACACAGAAGCCCTGACTAAGCTTCAGCACACTGTAAGCCAGAACCTGCTTTAAGTACTTTGAGTAAATCTATAGAACTTTTGACTTTTTTTTTAAGCCTAGCTTTACACTTTGGATGGAGGCTAAACAGAGATTGCTGTCAAATATAAGTAAATCAGTCGTATTTTTAATCTGTGCATATATTGAACTATAAATTCCTGTGAGAAGAGATGATTCTTTCTCTTCTACAGTTATGCCACACGGGGATCCACAGTAACATATTTTGGTACTTTCAATACTGCAGTGGGAGTTCAGTGGGAGTAATTGCTGAGTTTACCTGTGATGTGCTGTGTTCCAAATAAAGGTGGCAGTCATTAATAAATAAGTCACCAAACTGGAAAGGAGAACCATTTATTATAATGCATGATCGGTGCTGATGAGCTGGTTACCGGAATTGAAGCTCCTCTGTAGGTGGTTCAACTGCCATTAGTCGACATCAGTTTGGGCCTAAGAAGTCAGAAGGTACTCTTGCTTTTGAGCAGGGTAGTCCACACTGATAAAGGCGGCGAGATGTGGTTTTGGGATTCTCTGCCTTATGTCATTCAGGGTAGACTGCAGCAGCACTCTCTTCCAGACCCTTGGAACTGCCTCCATGATGGGCCCTGCCCCTTGATACCCAATTGCAACTGTTGATAGGGGTAAATAATCATTATTGGCAATGTGTATCCTTTTTCTTTTCATACAACTGGTTATTTTAAAGGGAATTCCAGCCATTTCCAGTTTCCTATTTTTTGAACGTGGACATCTTATTACATAACCAGTTTCTTATTACGTAACCATGTTATGTATTGGTGAACAAAAATGGTATCCTTGTTTTTATCTAACAGCCAATACGTAGTCAACTTTTTAACTGTTATCAATAGTCTTTTCTTTTTTTTTTTTTACGGTGCTACACGCTTTAACTAAAATGTGCATAAATATACACACGACAGGCTTCTACGAACATTCTCCTCACAGTGCAGAGACATCCACTGTTGGACCGGTCCTGAGCAGCATCTTTCTAAGGTGCCAGTGAGCACGAGTTGTTTTTGCTTCCTTTCTTCCTTTGTTGCTGTGGGTTTCCACAGGAAGAGCTGGCTGCTGTTGGTTAACGGATGTCTTCTGTTAGTGATCAGGTGGCTCCAGCTCACCACAATCACAATCAAAGCTACCGTCCATCTTACTCCGATATGCGGGACGTCTCCGCCTCACCGGGGGGCTGCGGGGCCTGCGGACCGCCCCCAGAACCGGCTCCAGTCTCCGACTGTGCTGGCGGCAGTGGCGTCTCGAGGCTCTCGCTTTGCCGCAGTCGCCGCCATGTAAGCCCAACCCGCGAGAGAGGGCGGGGCCTCCGGCGTCATCAATAGTCTTTTTACACTTGGTTTTTACCTTCTTCATGACCCCGTGTTGTCAGCTAATGTGTATTTTACCTGTGCCTACTGCCCCCGAGTTGATCTGACCCATAGTGACCTTTATAGAGATGTCCCACAGGGTTCCCAAGGCTATAATCTTTATGAAAGTCGATTGCCTCATCTTTCTCTTGCGGAGCACCCAGTGGGTTTTGTACCTGTACTTCGGCCACAAAGCTCATTTTGTAGATTTTATAGTACTCCCTAGAAGACAATCAGGACTGTGGATGTCAGCCAGGTGGTCTCAGTAAACATGTACCCTTTAGTATCTTTTCAGATAACACTACATTCCGCATCTAATGTACAATCAATGTGGAATGCATGAAGGAATTTGGACTGAAGGGCATTTAAAGCTGAACTAATTCCCGTAATGGCTATACAACTGGTTACTTTAAGTACACGCTTGCTAGCTACTTCTGTATTTTCCACCTAAATCAGACTCCATAAAAATAATTCAGAGGTGAGAATAAGTCGGCATACTCATTTACAAAAACGCTACACAATTCTCATTAATTTATCATTTAATATAAATGCTGACAGATAGCAGATAAAGACCTTGTAGACACTTTCATATATTTACAAACCAAAGGTGAATCACCTCCCTTCTACTTGTTAAAATATGTCCTTTTATCTGCAACTCATAAGAGCCTTAAACACTATGTAGGAGCAACATGAGGCCGAGTCAGTTTCCAAGATAATGAAGAAAGAAAATAGCCTTTTAAAACAATATGTGGCATCTTTGATAATGAACAACATGCACACAAATAATACTAAATTGGAAACGTCTGTAACCAGTGGACATGTACTGATTCAGACTGAGGCATCACTGCCGTCAGTATCTTCCTATTTCATTTGTTCCACCTCGCTTGTTTCAAAGGCTGGTTAAAGGTTGGTTGAGAGAGGAAAACGGTCCACTTCAACAGGGGTTGTTTTCCTATCCCAAAAGAACATCCAGGAGACGTCTTCAAACAAGGCTTCAGTTTGCTGAGACTAAGTAATTCACAGCTTGTGAAATCCCAACATACTAGCTAGTTGTCTTTACCTTTTGATTGTTGTAAGCTGGAAGTAATAGGAAAAAGGCAAAATTTCAAAATCCAGCAGTGATCAGCTTTAAGGCTCAATATTTTCATTTCTGAACAAGTGGGTGCAGGCAGGCAAGAAGGAAGAGGAAGCTGAGACAAGGAAAATCAAAACAAGAGTGCAAGGAAAACATTTTTAAAATGGTACTTTGTCTACCACTGATCTATAATGGAAGATACAAATTCTCACTCTCCAACACTGTTAAGTGATCTCATTAAGCCAATCACTTATAACCTGACTCAAATCTCATGGGCTCCTTTATTAACCTAGGTCATTATTTTTATCTTGTTAAATATACCTCTGCAGGGCACAATCACATACAATCAATACGATTGGTAAATTACATAAGCTCTATCCCAAGCAAATATGCATCAATGTTAAAAAAGTTACTATTTTTTTTAAAAAAATGAAATAAAACAAAATCCACCCAAAAAGGTGATAATGACTGCAGCATGTCTCGGGGAGACTGGTATGAGCCTAAAGACCAAACTGACCATAGTCAAGAGCCGGGGGAGCAAAGCCGACAAGGACAAGAGACCATAAACACAAAGAGGAATCTCACAACTGGAAAATGTTCATTATCTTAATTCGCCTTTCCACTGCTCATTCCAAAAATTCATTCGAAAGTAAGATAACGAGGCCCATGGGCCAATGAATAAACAAGGGGAAATGATTCGCCCAAGTTCCTTTCATTCTCCTATGGTGAGAAGAGAGGAAAGTTGAAAGGAAATAAGTATGAAAATTTAGGCAACAGAACACCGGGGAAGAGTAGCTTTCTCAAGACGCTATCTTAGTTGCGCAGGAGGCACAAAAACATTGAGCAAAAGCTTAAAATGCCTTCAAGTCAGAGGAAACTTCACGGGATGATTCAGGTACATATTTTGAGAATGGCAGCCAATCAATGGGGTGATTAAAACAAAACAGGGAACCAATTATCCACCTAAGTTTGTTTTCATCCTTTCTTGACCCTTTCATGCACCATTGGGGGTGGGGACGGGGCACCTGACAGTTTCCAGTTATCAGATGACTCTAAGCATACAACTCAGAATGGATGCCAAAGACTTGTGAGCTCTGTATACTTGAAGTTTAAAACAAAAACCAAGGAACAAGAACTAACCAAAAGCAAGCCCTCAGGTCCAATAAGTTCCCTCATCTTGTATAATGTATGGTAAGATATTAAATTCCACAGGATCTTATTTTACAAAATACATTATTTCTGAACACACGATTTTTAGTATTTTCTACTCCATCTTTGGGTTACTGTGCCTTATTTTTTGCAGTAAACAAAGGTTATTATTACTCTAGGAATGTTTTGTCCAGGAATACGGCTTAGAGGAAATTCCGTTATTTGGCTGAAGGCTCTCTAAAAACAAGGATTCCAGTGGTGAGTTAAGTCCCTTTATCACAATAGGATTTCAAAGGTCTCTTTACCCATTTGTTTCAGTGCAGTTTCCAAAACCCACCTTATTGGAAACATGTTTATTCCAAGTTCTTACTTTAGTCCTGGTGGCAGAAGTTTCCTGGTTTTAATGACTATTACAGCTAGCTCTATCAACTTGAGCCTATTATTTGGGAAAATATCTATAGCAACTGCAGAACTGGAGTCCTAAAGTCCAAGTTGTTATTTATGACACAGTACTGTTTTAACAAAAAATGCCTCTATTTGTTTTTCAATTAGTTCAGAAAAGCTGACTTGAGATTTAAAAACATATATATAAATGGCAATTCACCTTCACCAATAAGCCATTTCAGCAGGAAAATTCATAAAATTGAACCAAAGCAACAACGAGGATATAGAGACTATAGCTGTCCAAGGTAGAGCAGTATGAATGTAGACCAGCAAAATGGGCATTCAGATAGAAATGTTTATTCAATCTCTAAACGTTGAAAGCACAACTTTCTTAAATTTAAATACTTCTGCCTGGTTTCTATTTCAAAAGACAGGTAAATTTTTGAAGAAGAGAAGTCATCTTGTAATGGTGTAGGACATATCACCAACTAAAAAAACCCACCACTGGACTCTTTTAGAGCATACAAATCTAAGCAAACATTGGAGTTAATTTTCAGTAAGGCTATTAAAATACATTTGAACATATAACTGGGTGGTTGCTTTTAATAAAAATATCAGTAACTAAAGGTGCTCCTTAAAGAAAGATTTTATAATTAAATCTTTACGAAACTCTTTAAAATGAACAAAAAAGTTACTTTACTTATTGGATATAAAGTATAGTAATTGAATACTAAAAGTGATAGTAATTGAATACTTTCTAGTGGGGTGGAAAAATAGACTTTTCACTAAATCTGAACATGTATTAACAGTTAATTATTTCTCACTAGTCCCATGCTCAAAAAATTTTACTCAGTTCCTTGACTTGACTATAGTGAAAGATTGTCATTTAGGCACAAGCTTAAAAAACATAGAACATGCAATCATAACAAAGTAATCTCAAAAATTAAAAAAAAGGAAAGGGCAGGGTGGGCTGCTTACATACAATACTGTAAAATATGATATTCATTGGTTTAGAGAAATCAATGACTTTTCATTACTTGTACATTTTATATGGCTAGCTAACATTAACAATTAACTGTACATAAATGGTTTTGCACAGTACAATCAACTCACAAATACTAAAAAGGCTTCACAATCACAATGGCTACTACTTCCCCCCAAACCAAAACAGAGTAAAGCACAAGTCTTTGGCTCTCCTTTAGAGAAAACAGCAGGTTTATCATTCTTAACCAGACCTTTGTTTGCCTACCAGTAGGGCAAATACCACATTTGTGCATCACTGAGTAATAACACCATTAGAAAAGGCAACTTCACAGAAGTTATTGGCTAAGCGAATTCATTTGAATGCTCTGTTTTGAGGCAGCAAACTGTCACTGTTGCAGATTGGGAAGGGCAGTGGGTAAAGTCAAAGGGAACTGGCAGGAATGGAAAGGGTCAGCAAAAAAAAAAAAAAAACCCTACAAAAATTTATTCATAAGAAGATTCAGGAGCTAAAATGTTGAGCTTGAACTCTAAGACCCAATAAAAGTCTAATGGAGTTACATACTCAAAGTAGCAAATAAGAATCAAAGCTTTTTTTGTCTTCTAGGGAAAAATAAGTGGGAAAGAATAGGAAAATGGAGGGATAAGATGGGAGAAGGGAATCACCCACATTAATTCTATGACAAATAATTTTTATGCATTTTGAGTACGTTGACTATTTGTAGCTAGAATTCGGGATAGTGTCTTTGCGTTTGAACAGTGTTACCTGAAACCTAGCCTATGACCAGCTGTCTTCTAATCAGAAAGCTCTGAAATTACCAAAACACAGGGCAGCTGTTGTTAACTCTCTGTGACATTATTTAAAACAAGAGGAACTTCATATAAAACAGAAGTTGAACTTCGGTGTGCTACTCTCAGTTCTTCCACCCAGCGACCACTTGAAAATATAAGTTGAAGTACTTTTATATTCCTTGGTGTAATAAAATTCTGATTTTGTTACCTAAAGAGTGAACACAATGCTTTATTATTCCTAACGCAACCCTCTCTGAGTTGCTTATGTTCATCTGAGATGTCCATGAAAGTATTCCTTTTGAATGAAAAACAAAGTCATATTCAGAAGAAATGAGCATTTCAACAAACGGAAGGCATAAAACGTAGATTTCCTATCTAAATCTTAACTATTTCTATAGGAATAAAATAAGAAGGATAGAAAAGCAATTCCTTTCACAGATTTTGACAAAAAAGCAACTATGCTCGAATTGGCCATTACTCCTTTTAGGTCCATCACATCACAGCACAGATCACAGAGAAGAGGAAAAGAACAGAGAATCCCACACACTTTGTGGCTTTGATTGAGTTCTGACATCTGTTAGTGAGCACTATGAAAGCTAGAAAAATTTACATCAGGTAGGGCAGAATAATCTATTTAAAATAAGTTACAGGTACAATGGAACAATATACTATTTTTCCAGCTTTTTACCTCAACAGCTTGCCTCTGGAAGTGTGGCACATTGAGGGGTACAACTAGGATTGTGTGGCAAGATTATTTTAAGCCTAAGCAGTGCCTTCTCTGGATCTGTTCAGAACAGGAATACTGTAAAAATTTATTTCTGCACCTACCTGTCTAAAAAGTCAAAATGGCGAATGCAGAAAGAACATATTTGAAGGGAATAATAACAGCAGGTTAAGCTGTTAGGGTTTTAGTAGATACTCGGAATAGAAGTTTACCTTTATTATTAAACAAAATCAATACTTATAAATTTCCCCTTTTAAAACAGGAAATCTATCAGTTCCAAAGTGAACCAACTGCTTCTAAACTTTAGGAATATTTTACAAGACAGAGCAAAGGCAAAAACAGATCTGCTCAAACCTGCCTACAGGAGACTGGAGGCCAAGGGAGGTTGGTTGCCTTTTATGATTATGCAGACAAACAAAAATCCCGGAACTCTGTCAGACAGACAAGGTTTCTTTCCTTCTCCCAATAAAAATATGAAGAGTAAATGTAAGAGGATTTTGAGTAGAAGTAAAACAAAATAAAAAAGTAAGTTTCTGTTGAACAAACAGCAGTTATCAACTGAAAAAATGCCTCATCTTCATTCATTGCATCTACCTCCCAATCAGACATTTTATCGCAACAGCTGCGCTCATGCGAAAAAATCCTTAAAACATACCCAATATATATACAGATATAGCTATGTATATTTGTATATATATAATATATATAAATTTTTATTTAAATAAAAAAGAAAGCTCGAATCCCAAGCCAATATGTGTATATCAAATCCTTGACCAGCCAGGTCTGTAGGGCATAATCAAATTCAATGTGAAATAGTATATATAACACGGTGCCTTGACTGGGCAAATTAAATACTCACTACTCAAAAGAGTGTTCTGTTTGGACTCTCCTACTGGTAGGCAATGGTAGGACTGTATTGCCCCCCCTCCCCCCCCTTTGTCTCAGTTAGCAATATGATGGACACAGGGTTTAGACTGAGGTGGTTATGACCTCAGCAGGAATTAAGGGTTAAGAAAAAAGGAAACAAGAAAAATATAAACTCTTGCTTTTACCCAACCAAAGCAATGCAGTAACTTATTACATAACCAGTGCTTTCTGATTTAGTAGTATAATCCAGAAAAGGGAGGGGGTGGTGGTGATCAGGCAAATAAAGGGATAGGAAGGTGACTATAATCTTTTCTAGATTCTTAAGAGTTCAGTATATACACGTGGCATTAGAATATGTGCAGCAGAACCAGATAATAAAAAAATGCCTTCCTTACTCTTTTCAACATTTAACAAAGAAATGTTCTCACTACTGTAAAGTCAGGTACATAAAAACCAACCTAGGTATTTACTACCTACTTGTTCTAGTAATCCTGACCAGCAATTGATCAATCTATAAATTAGCCTTATCACAAATTAGTCTTAAGACCATGGCAGCTCAGATTTGACAAATCTTTTTGAAAGGCAGGGCTCCAGTATTTAGGGAATTTATTTTAAACTTTTAGATTTTGTGGGTAAAACAATACATCTATTGGCAGAATGTGGTTCTTTTCATTTAATGCTCAAATCAAATATTGCAGTTTTAAAACATGGCTGATGTGGCTTTTAAAACATTCTATGATTTTAGTAAAAGTTCAAATTTGAGACAGCTCCAAATTTCCGACGATGAGTCAATGTAGGCAATAAACCTAACATGTATTTTCAGTGATGGTAATAGTGCTCATCCTTAAGGTACTCTACATCAAGCTAATCAAACAATATCAATGTAGAATTAGCTTTCTGATTACAGTATGAGAATTAAAAGTCATGTGTGACATGAGAAAGGGGACATGAACCGTTTGATAATCATCTCTACAAAAACAAGTAAACCTTCATAACAATCAACCATCCTACAAAGTCGCACACCGTAAGAAAAGTGTAACTATTCGTGGAGCTAAAAAACCCAGAAAGGGAGGGAGGAGGTGGTGGTAGAAAAGGACTATGGGTAAAGTTAGTTTGCTGCACATTTTCTAACGACTCAGCCTATGTACAGGCTGTCACTTTGATTCTCAAGTACCACAGAATTCTCAGAAAGGCCAGTGCTTTTTGCCTGCTGTAGGTTATGGGGTGGTGAGAACTGGAAAGGACTAAGGAATTATACACTGGGTATGTAATAATACCAAATACAAGAAAACCTACTTTATTAAGATCATACAATTAATCAAACAGAGTGTATATATAATATCTTCTTTTTTTTAAGCCCTGGATCCAAGGCGTCCAAAGTTATTAAAATAAAGTTCATTCACAGAACAAAAACAAATTTAATCTGAATTGCTTGCAGATACTGCTAATTTTCTTTTTCTTAAAATTAAAAAAATGCATTAATGTTAACTATGTGCAGGGCTTATTTTTAGTAGTGGTGTTGTGCACATCGCCTCTGGTGCTTTTCCTGGATTTCTCTGACCACTCTTAGAGAAAAGGCCTACAACACATGATCCATTCTCCTACCCTGGAGCCCCACAAATTGATTAGGAGCAAAAAGGTTAAGAATAGGAACTCCTCATATTTTAGGGAGCAGAACTGGGTGTAACTCCAGATCTCTGGGAGTCATTGTTATCCCCTCCTCCCTCAGGATCCTCTGATAGGTTCAGAGAGCTGGTCTTGTTTGATAGGAGGGTGATATTCTCTTGTGTCAGGGTTGATCCATTCGGTACATCGCTGTTAGCAAAAAAAAAAGGTAGTTGAAAATTTTAAAAAGGAGAAAAATTATTAGTAGAAAAAAAGTCAGCAAGAGCTTTCTTTTTAGCATTAACGCAAACATATGGGTGGACTACAAACGTTATCCAAGCTATTATAGCATAGGGGGATTGAAGACTGCTGAATTTTATACATAAAATGCTATTGAAACACGTCCTACTTGACCTATGGCTGTCTGGCTGTCTGCCTGTAACAGAAGATTTAAGAATTATGATAGAGATTCTAATGCCTACAACCTAAAGTATTTACCCTCTGACCCTCAGGAAAATTGGCTAATCCCTGCTTCATTAGCAGGCTAACTAGTATAAGAACTTACTTATACTAGGATAATACAATCCTGAAAATAACAGGGCATTGGAAATTGTACTATCATAAGGAGGGCAACTCAGAGCACTATGTTAAAAAAAAAATCTCAAAATAGTCTCAGGAGGTAATTAAAGATGTGCGAACAAAGACAGAATTGTTTATTTCAAGGAAGTACATGATTACTGTAAAAAGAATACTGAAAGCTAATGGTAAAACAATTTTGGAAAGGGGGTGTGGAAGTGGGGAATTGTAAAAACAAGCAAAGGCTAGCTGCCCACACATTTAAGAAAAACTCAAAAGATGGATAACACAAATGTTAACCTTAGTTACTCTCTGTATTGGAACTAACTGACTTTAAGAGACTATATATACTTAAAATGAATGAAATAAAACAGCAGGGGGAGACAGAACCAGAAAATTTCATGTTATGAATCGACTTCATAATAGTTTTTAGTTCAGAATAAGTAATTCACCTTTGCATCTAAGAGTTTTAACTGCTATATTTACATTAAAATGTTTTCATATTTGTATGTAGAATAACAAGCTAAAAAGTCAAGTAATATTTATGAAGGCATTTCTTACCTAATATCATTATTTCTCTTTTATGTGTAATACAATTTACCCAATATCGTTATTTCTCTTTTATGTATAAAACAGTAAGAAAATGTGGCTTCTTTTACCCGAATGTCAATGTAAGGTCCTCAGCCGGAACCTTGTTTTGCGGTTCTGGTTGTCCATTTTCTGCGTGTTTAATGGTATTCAATTTGCTTTTCATATCCAGAGAACACTGGTTCTCCTTTAAAATAAAAGAAATTCAGTTATCTTCTATTTAATGATGTTAGTGTAAAAAAAAAAAAAAATCAAATACAGAGAATATAATTGATGATACAGATATAGTCAGTTTTGCAAAATGACTAAAGAAATAGGCAAAATAAAGGAGAGAAGGTTGATGGTTCAAAGCTACCAGCCATATCTCTAGAGAAAGTTCAGGCTGTCAGCTCTTGTACAGATACAGTCTGGGAAACCCTATAGAGGATCATTATGTGTTGGAAGTAACCTGATGGCAGTGGGCTTGGTTTTTGGTTTTATTAAAAAAGAAAGGATAAAAGAATACAACCTATTTGCACACTACCCAACCCAGATAACAAAAAAATGCTTCAAGTTAACCTGGAAAATTTCACTGAAAAGTTGACATACCAAATAGTAAATATTATATGCCCTCTGCCTTTTATAATGATGAATCAGTATGCATAAAAGAAACTTATTTAAGAATTCCAATTAACCACCTGTTTTTCCTAAAGCTTTTTCAAAAGCAGAATTCTAATATAAAGAATCAAATAAAAACGGGGAAGAATGACAAAATAGGTAGGCAGCCCATTTTCATGAGACTAATCTTGAGGACCATTAACTCGTCAGAATGTCTTGGAGTGATGATTCTAATGAAAGAGTCATGAGTCACACAGAAGTTTTCATTTCTGCACCCATCCACCTGTCCCCACTATTAACACTCACCATACTCAGTTCCCGCGTTCTCTTTCCAATTTCCCTTTCCACCTGGTGTAGTTCCAAGCTCAACTGCTCACTTGAGATCATTCCAGGCCATTTTGGAGGTGGTGCAGGTTGTGGTTGACCTGCCAGGGTGTTCACCTCCCTCTGCAACACCAGTCTGTTACTAACAGTCTAAATGTAAAGCCAAGAAAATACACAACTCAACACACTTCACACCAGCCTTAAGTAACTTATCATTCAGTTATTTATTTCTACTCCAATTATTTAATTATAAGACACTCATTTTCTTTGAGCATTATTTGAATAAAAAAGGAAAAAACCCAGGATTTATATTTAGCGAATACTAAACTAACCTAATTGTAAGCACAAGTTGGTTTGTTATTTTAAATTCCTTATTTGAAAGCAGTTAACTATAAACATATATTTTTCTCTCTCTAAAAATTTATCTGGAGTAAATCCTTTAATTTACTTCAATAAAACCTCAGAAACAGTAATCACTTCTATCCAGAGTGTTGAATATGTGGCAAGTTTCCAAAAGATACATCTACTGTTTCAGGATAGGAAATAAATTTAGATTAAAAAGAAAAGAAAAGGAAAAAGAATTTAGAAACTCTAGTGAAGACAATGACTGATGGATTAGCAGGATCTGGAACAATACCTAATTGGGCGGAAAGTTTTTTGTTTTTGTTTTTTTATCATTTTATTGGGAGCTCTTACAGATATCACAACATTCCATAGTTCAATCACATCAGGCAGTATAGTATGATTGCTACCACAATCAGTTTCAGAACATCTTCTTTCTTCTTGAACTTCTTGATATCAGTTTTCCTCTATCCCCTCCCCTCCTCCACTATATCCCCCAGGAACAAGGATCTCCTCCACCCATATCTTGCATAATCCAATATATCCATTCACATACAATTCTGTAATCCGATCCCATCAGTGGGGTTATACAGTCATCAATGCTATCTGTTCCCTATTCTCCTCCTGCCTCCTCCTCTCTTCCCATAACCTCAGGGAACCATTATTCTTTTTACTGTTGGGGCAGGAAGTTTTAAGTGTTTAAAAGTTAATGAACAACAACAAAAAAAGTTAATGAACTAAAAAGAGAAATAACCAAACATAAGATTCTTCTTTGTACAATAAGAATCAACAAGAAATTCTGGACCAATATAAAAAAAGGAATGGAAAATTAGAAAAACAAGACCAATATAAAGATTTTGAAATTTCCGAATCCTATTTTTTTAAAATAAGAGCACAAGTTAGACATGTGGTCCACAAAACAATCTCCAACTGGATTTTCTACAATATGAAAATTTTAACATTAATTATAAATTTCCCTAAAAAGGGATGTCTTCTTTATTATTAAAAATTTTAACAGGACGGTAAAGACCAATGATGTAATAGTAGTACCCTTTTTATATCCTCCAGAAAGGAACATATTTTTTATTAAAATATCTTTAGTTTTTCATATTCAAAGAATATATTTTTATGCCAAAGATGATGTAAACTATAGGCCCCCCTAATTAATTTGGCCTAGTGGCTCCTTTTCAGGAGAAAAAAAAAATTACCCAGAGCCTCCCTGGCAACGAAAAACTTTTGCACTCTATAGTCCAGAATCCAGGATATAGGGTAGGTATCGACTTTTGCAGACCACATGAATCATTCTAGTGCCCCTCTAGGGGTAGTAGTGGTATCATCTACTTTGGGCACCATTGGTTTAAATTAAACCTATTGTTCCTTATGTGGTACTTACTGGTTAAGTGAGAGGCATCTATAAAATGGGAATAATACCATCTACCTAGAGCCCTGGTAGTATAGTGGAGTGGGTTACACATTGGGTTGCTAACTGCAAGGGTGGCAGTTCAAAACCACCCAGCAGCTCCACGGGAGAAAGATGAGACTTTCTACTCTCATGAAGAGTGTTACCGTCTCCGAAACTCACAGAGACAATTCTAATCTGGCCTATAGGGGTAATTATGAGTTGGAATTGATCCGATGGCAGTGAGTGAATGACTATCTGCTTAACCACAGTCAGGAATACTGTGAAGGTCAAATAAGATATAAGATAGTAAATCCGAAGGGACTATATGAAAGAAAGATGATATATCAGAAGAACTATTTTTTTGGGGGGGGGGGTGTTAAATCAAAGTTCTAAGCACCTACTCTTCATATTTATAAATGATAAGGCTTAACAGAAAAATCAAAACATTCTAAAACCATGTGACAACAAGAGCACTATACGTTTATTTAATTGTGCCAAGGAATATAAATTTTATTGGGAAATCTCAATCTACTTTCTATTATACAAAATCAAAAAACCAAACTCACTGCCATTGAGATTCATAGCAACTCCACTATGGGTTCTTCTGAGACTGTAACTGTTTATGGAGTAGAAAGCCCAGTTTTCCCCCCTCAGAGCTGCTGGTGGTTTTAAACTGCTGACCATGCCGATTGCAGCCCAATGTGTAACCACTACAGCATCAAGGCTATTATTATCAAGTATCAGAAATTCTAAGTTTCCGCATATCCCCAAACTGAATTCAGTAATTGAATTCTTTAAAGAATGGATATCTATAATAATTCTTTATACAATAGGCCTTGTACTTTTATTTTTACGGTGCCTTTCAAAAACTGGAAAGAAAAAGTATTTTCAGGCTCAGACCTCTAGTCCACGTAGCTGGGTTTGCTGGTTAATCTGATGGTTCAGTTGCTGTAATTCTAGTCGTAGCTGTTCCCTCTCAGCAGATGGAAGGGGCTTTCCATGACTGGTCACTTCTGACATGGATATTCTCTCCCTTTGGTGGACAGAATACATTTTAAAGTTTGCGTCATTAAGCTACTGTTAACTGGTAAAACCAACCAAAGTTGAATAATACTAAAAACTTGTGGAAGCAAAAGAATGGATCCATACCTCTCACTGAAGTGTCCCTGAGAAGGCATGTTTTGATGAGGTGAATATGGGGACCCTCCCCAGCCAACATGGGTTCCATAGGGACTATAATCTGGAAGAGAATGATAGGGATATCATAACATTTTTAGAACTCGATCTTCTTTTAAGGAAGCTATGACCTGATATTTCAAAGTAAAGAGAATATACTGTTATAAAAAAAAAATGATGCTGACCAGAGGACGTACACTGGTAAAGATAGGAAGTGGAAACACAGGGAATCCAGGACGGATGATCCCTTAAGGACCAGTGGTGAGAGTGATGATACCGGGAGGGTGGAAAGGGGGAACCGATTATAAGAAGCTACATATAACCTCCTCCCAGGGGGATGGACAACAGAAAAGTGGGTGAAGGGAGATGTCGGACAGTGTAAGATATGACAAAATAATAATTTATAAATTATCAAGGGTTCATAAGGGAGGGGGAAGCGGGGAGGGAAAGGGAATAATGAGGAGCTGATGCCACGGGCTTACGTGGAGAGCAAATGTTTTGAGAATGATGAGGTTAACGAATGTACAAATGTGCTTCTTACAATTGATGTATGTATGGATTGTGATAATTGTATGAGCCCCCAATAAAATGATTAAACACACACACACACACACACACACACACACGATGCTAATAAAAACAAAGAACGAAACAGTAAGGAATCTTTTCTTTTTATAAATTTTATTTTATATCATTTCATTGGGAGCTCTTACAGATATCATGTTCAATCACATCAAGCAGTGTTGTACCATTGCTCCCATAGTCAGTTTCAAAACATTTTTTTTCTTCATGAACGCCTTGATTATCAGCTCCCCTTTAAGCCCTCCCCCCACCCTAGGAATCTTCTTTTCTATTTATTAAATTTTATTCCATACCTCTCTTACATGGGAAGTTTGAAATGTAGTGTTGGAAGATTAAGGAAAGTACTACTACTACTAAGGAACAGGGGCAGGGCTGGGAAGTATGACGATCACCTTATACTTGAGACACTTACCTGAAATGTTCATAGACTTTGTGGGAGCTCCCTGAGGTGCCATCGCCTGCATTGGGCCGGCACCCTGATAGATCGTTTTGGAAGTTCTAGAGATGGCACCAAACCGAGATACTGTTGGTCGATCTCCAAATGGAATGAGGTCATCATCACTGGCTTCTGCTGCTCTTCTCTGAAGATCCAATCGCTGATCTCTCATACCTTTACTGTCTACATTCTGATAAAAAAGGAAAATGAGAAATTCCGTCCATAGTTAGTGTTCTTATGTTGTCCACTGGGTTAGATGGATAGAGCAGATCAATTTTCTATTCAACAATTCATGCATATTTTATTTCATGTTATTGATTGCAATACCTACTTCCTCCTGCGTTTCCTATTTTTATTTTCCCTTCTCTCCTAACCTTTCTGAACTCTGTCTTTGGGTAAATGTTGCCCTTTTGATCTCAAATGGTTTATGATTCTGAGGTGTGCAATGCTCCATAGTGCTATTTCTCCTCTTTTACAGACATATTTTTTGGCTGAAAATGCAGCCATGAAGGTGAATTCATTTTCACCTGAAGGATGACTAAGGACCATAGTTTTAGGGACTCCACCAGTCTACAGCTGACCAATAAGCCTGGTCTTTTTAAGAATTTCAATGTTTTATTTATCTTCTCAATGTACCAGGCACCTCCTCGCTTCCATTTTCCCACTTCATTCACCTAACCTCTGCCTGCCTTAAATTTGCTTTCGGTAAACACTGCCCTTTTGGTCTCATAGAGCACACTGCCCACGAGTGTTACCGTTCGCTTTATAAGCCCACCTATGGTGCTTATAGCCACCTATGGTGCTTATAGCCACAGGGTGGGCAGTTCAAACGTCTAGTACGTCTAGTACGTCTGAGAGAGGAAGATAAGGCTGCTTGCTCTTATAAAAACTTACAAAGTCTTAGAAATCCTGTACAGGGTCACTCTGAGTAGGAATAGACTTATCTGGATACAAACAAAGTGGTCTCCAGGTATAGATTTAGCTTACTTAAAATTTGAAGTTTCTCCAGGGGTCATAGTCTTGCGGTTTCTACCAGTCTATGTCAAACAATTAAGTGTGACCTTTTTCTTTTAAAATATCATGCTGAATTTTGTTCTACATTTCTCTCTCTCTCCAGGACCTTCTATTGTGATGGTTATTAAAGATGTTGGTAAGTGGCAATGGGGCACTATTGGGTAACCTAGGTTACCAAACTTGGCTGATCACTAGAATCCCCTGGGTATTTAGTAAAATTTCAGCTCCCTGGGGTCCATTTGCAACTTAATGAGTCATAATCTCCAGGGGGAACAGCCTGGGGACCTGTAGTTTCATTAGATCCCAAGGTGAGTCCAATGATCGTCCAGCTACGGAATCGAGGATCTTGCTCTTTGAGTCTCAGGCTCTGGGAGGTTGTGGTTTATGTGTCCTTTACCCCTTTGGAGTGTTTCCTTGAGCCTTGTTTCCCATACATCATTTCTTTGCTTTGGTCAGAAAGAGATCAATGATTGCATCTTATATGGTCACACATAAGGTTTTAAGACCAGCCACTACTCACTAAAGCAGGATACTTAATATACTTTACAGACTATATTAAGCTAATTGACTTAAGATACTCCTGGACACGATGGTCCCTAGCTCTCTAGTCTATTAAGAGTCCTGTGAAATAGCTAGTTATGGTTAAGTTTTTTAAACTGTGTCCATGTATTCTATTATATATGAATATAGTCAAGGGCTTCAAAAAGGTCACAGAAAGGTGCTATTATCTTTTAATTCCATTTTTCATAAACTTTTTTAAATTCCTTCATATCTGTGTCACATACAAATATGTATGTAGAAATCTACCACTAAACCTATGAGGGGGTACCCAAAAAAACTGGGAACTTCCCATCCCCCCCAAAATGATGTACTTAAATCATTTTTTTTCCTGCTTGAAATAGTTGATTGTATTTATGTAATAAATTCTCATGGAAAATTATGGTTTGGTTTAGCTATTTGCAACCCGTTCCTGAGCTCTGAGGAAGTTTGCCCTCTTCTGAGCTACCCAATCTTTCTTCTGGGCAAGAGACATTTTGGGACGATTCCACCTCTTCTTTTTCACATCTCTCTTAGGCTTCTTCTCATATAGTGGCATGTGCTTCCTTGTACATCTCCATCATGTCAGGAGTTACGTTGTTCTTTATGTATTGAGAAAATAGTGTCTTGTAATCATCTTCATCCTCTTCCATTAGGTAGCGCATGTAGTCTGCAACGTTCTGACCCGGGATGTGTTTTCGATGCACCTCTGCATTGAAATCCTTGCTTTCTGAACCATAACCAGGGAATTGCTTGGTATTATGAGGGATAGATAAGCCTCCGTCCACAGCCCCTTCAGAGCCCCAAACACTTTATTTCCAATGTCGTCCTGTCAAGGCCAGCATCCAGGTAGCAGGTGAAGGCACCAGGTTGACCATCAATGCTTTCCACATTGTATTCATCTCGTTACCTCCAGTTGGCCTTCATAGATTTTGTCCATGCCAAACTTACTAAGAAGCCTGCGGGCCAATAGCAGGCCAGTACAATATGCTGCAGCATAACTGGTCAGGCCAGCTTTCACACCATACTTGGGAAGTTCATGAGCATGAGCTGCACAAACAACCACATCTCCTTCTATACGGGCATAAGCAATCTGGCAGATGATATCCCTGTTGGTTACATGAACTATCATCCTGTATTTGAGTGTATTGTACTTATTTTTATCTTGGATTATCAAGCATAATAATAGGTTTTGCGCCTCTAGTTGTCTTCTAAATTTCACTTGGTATCTCTTGAAGTAGGCCTTGTTCTTGACAGCATTAACAAACTGCGGAAAAGAGAGCAGGGTCCACGGATCAATTATTTTACAAAACCACATCACCTTCAAAGTACTCTCCATTACACTTAATACATTTGTCAAATCTGCGATTCCATTCTTGGAAACATTTTTCAAACTTAATCTGTTTGGATGGCTGACAGCACCTCCCTTGTTTTTTTTCTTCACTTCTTTTACATCATCAAATTGCTGTCCTTTCATGTCTCCGCATGGAGTGAGGTCAGGTGAGAGCAAGGTGTGTGGGGGAAGAGAGGCATGTGTTTTTTGCCAAAAACTTGCACACTGAGATGGCTTCGTGAACATGTGCACTGTGGTGGTAGTAAAAACAGTCCCCCCTCTGCAACAAATCAGGACTTTTTGGTCACACACTGTTACACAATCTTTTCAGACCTTCTAAATAAAAAGCTCAATTAACAGTCTGACCTGGTGGAACAAACTTCAAATGCACTATCCCCCTCACATCAAAAAAACAAACAAGCACCACCTTGATCTTTGATTTCACTTGATGAGCTCTTTTTGGGTGAGGTGATGATGGTGTCCACTGGCTTGATTGATGTTTGTTTTCGAGTTCATAAGAACAGCATCAAGTCTTATCACAAATAATGACCTTGGTAAAAAAGTCTGGGTCCCTTTCTTTCAAAGAATAGCATGTTTCCATTCAATACAATACTCTTTTTCTTGGTCAGTCAGAACCCGAAGCACAAATTTCACAACGACCCTTCTCATTTCCAAATCTTCCATTAAAATTCACTGAACCGAGCTCCAAGATAGTCCAGATAACTTCCCTATCTCTCAGTGTTCCATTGTCAGCCTTCAAGCACAAGTGCACAAATTTTGTTGACATTTTCGACTATTTGGGAGGTTGACAGATATCCAGAATGAGGTTTGTCATCAATCGACATTTCACCTTTTTTGGAAATTAGAAAGCCACTCACACACTTGAGTTTTTCCCATAGTGCTGTCCTTATAAGCTGTGTTCCACATCAACAGTTTCTGTGGTATTTTTCTCCACCAGGAAACAAAATTTCCAAGCTGCACACTGTTCTCTGAAATCGGCCATCACAACATCAAGAGGTTTGAGTGAAAATGCTTTTACGAAAAAATTCAGTGACCAGAGAGAACCTTCACAGGCAACGCCACTGGATGCACTAACTCTTAACTCAGATATAGTTGCTCACCTAGGGGGGGAAATGCATACCCCTACTACAAAAGCTCTGCTGGGCTAACCCCTCGTATATATAAGGATCTCAGGTGGTGTAGTGGTTATGAGTTGGGGCAAGGTCCACAGAAACCACCAGTTATTCTGAGGGCGGAAGACAGGACTTTCTACTCTGTAAAGAGTTACAATCTTGGAAACTCTTCCTGTCTCGACCCTGTCTATAGGGTCTCTATGAGTCAGTATTAACTTGATGGCAGTGAGATAGGGTTTTTGTGGGGTAGTGTGGTGGGCTGTGTTGGGCTAATAATGGAAAGGTCAGTAATTCACACCTAATGGCTGTTTCGCTAGAAAAAGACGAGGCTGTCTGCTCCCATAATTTTTACAATCTTGGAAACCATAGGGAGTACATTTATTCTGTCCTATAGTGTAGCTACGAGTGGGACCTGGCTTGATGTCACAGGATTTAACCTATATATGCACGTGGTTGTATTTCCATACACTATTCCATAACCTTACAAGGTAATACTCTTGTTAGATTGCACAAGGGGCTTTAAAAAAATTTTGTAGATAAATTCCACGTTTCCACAAACGTTATGAAGTTCCCCTAAATAAGAAACTGTATTTTCTGTTGCCTTAAAGCAGTTTTTTAAACCTGTGACTACTTTTCCACAGTAAGAAACAGACCCTATATCATGGCTTAGTATACATTTGTGTATGTAAAATACACTCTTGAATTTCTATGGTTATCCTGACTCATTCAAAACAGTTGATTCTGATCAACTACATCAATTTTAAAACTCCACTAGTTTGAAAATCACCATCTAAAAATATATGGGTTGCAAAAGTTCAGAAATAGCTAATGCTTTGGTTGAACTTGATGAACATAATTAACGTTATGGAACCAAATGTGGAAAGACTGTAGAAATGGCAAGTGTTCCTTTACCTATATACTTTAACACAATAACAACAACAATAAAGTACTAACATTGTTTTTTTAATGGGATCCTAATAAGAAATAAATGTAACTAGAAATGAATTTTCTTTTCGTCCACTAATTCCCTTTCTCTTATTCTTGGCTGCCATCCAGTCACATTTGAGACAGATACCATTTCACTCACTTGGAGTGGTATTAGCATCAAAACATTTTTTTCTTACCAAAACTTGGTCTTCTAATCAACTAGATATATATATCCTTGATAAAAACATATATAGGAACACAAGGAACTGTTTTTTAAAGTTTATAAGAACAAGTGATTTAAGAATACTATACAATGAATATCTTTCAACACAGCAATACTACTTCTAAACGTAATTTTCATTTACGTAAAATATATACAAGAATGTTCAGTGGCAACACTCTACACATAAAAGTTTAAGCCTATAAATAAGCTGAATTGGTGCAAGTTGTATGAAGATATATTTATTACAACAGCCTTTCCAAAAAAAGGGAGGCTTGTTCATGTGCATCCAAAAACCTATTGGGTTTCACAGTTTGGGGGTGTAGGTTCTTGATTTTAAAGATCATCCCTCTGAACTGGCCAAATAGCACATTTAGTGATTCTATTCTACCTCCTAGTTCACTGTGTGGAGGTTGGAGGTGGGTCTTAAAAGCTTGTGGGCAGACATCCAAGACACAACTGCACACTACGCAACCTAGGAAGGAGCTTAGGAACCAGGAGCAAGATATGGACTTGCCACCATGAACAACTGTCTCCATTTCCTTGAGATCAGAAAAACTGGATGATGCTTGGCTACCAATACTGAATATTTTGATCAAAGAGTCTACATAATAATTCTAATCAAAAAGGGGAAAATACAAAACAGAATGTCAAAAGCTCATGGTCTCCAGATTTCCTGGAGCCATTAAGCCGGATGAAACCTTTAACTATTACCCTAAGATAATCTTAAAAAAAAAAATATCCCCTGAAATCTTAAAACCAAATAGTTGCTTAACTTGCTAAAAAGGAATGCCTTGAGCATCATGCTCTTTAAGAACTTTCAATTTGGGATCCAGTTGATAACATCTAAATATAGGTCACTTAAATCTAAGCTAAGCAGTTACATTCTGATTCAAATTCTGTTTTTCAGTAGTATCATTTTCTTGTTTAAACTTCAGAGTTGTAGAGAAGAGTTACAGTACAGAAATCAGATGTCTTGATTATATAAAAATAGCACTTTTTCTGACCACAATATATTACGCAGCTATAAATGTTCTTTTTTGTCTGTATAATTCAAAATAATTTTATCAATATCCAAAACATACAAAACAATAGAGCATACATTCTAAGGTACACAATGTAGTTTGAAACGCTTAAGCAAAACTCTTAAGAAAAGCTTGATTATTTGTGCCTAAACCATAATACATCACTATTTGTTTGGCTTATCCTGATTTGTATTACTTATAGGTTAGTTACCACATACCATCATTTCCACACTCCCTGCTGCCACAACATCTTTGGGTTTTGCATCTTTGGTCCCAATGTAGGAGCCAATGGTGTCACATGACCAGGGAGAGTATTGGCTATAATCATTTCCTTTGTATTTTCCAGCTATCTTTAAATCTTCATCCAAAAACTAGAGATTAAAAAAAAAAAGCATGACAAAAGAAGAAATGTAATGGGGAAATAGGTCTGTAAGTAACAAGAAATAGAAAGTAGCAAATTTGTTGGGACATCATGCTGAGGCAATATACCAATGGCTGGTTGATTTGTGTCACACAATATAAGATTCTTATAGATCAGTGGTTTCAACCTGTGGGTCGTGACCCCTTTGGGGGTAGAACGCCCCTTTCACAGGGGTTAGCCTGATTCATAACAGTAGCAAAAGTACAGTTATGAAGCAGCAACGGACATAATGTTATGGTTGGGGGGAGGGGGTCACCTACATGAGGTGCTATAAACTGGGTCGCATTAGGAAGGTTGAGAACTACTACATACTATGCAAAATATAAAACAGGTAAAGAACGACACATCTTTTATTTATGATTCAAAAATAGCCTATCTTAACATCTTCAAGGTATCAACCTAAAAGTTTTGAGTTTTGCTCGTTCTCTTCCAACAACAGAACATCACATATTCTTACATTGGGCCTCCACTCAAGTACTCCCTCAATGCAAGAATACTTTCTTCTATGAAACTGGCATTCTATGATGCTCACCTTTCCGACACAACCGCTGAAGATAAAGCGGGTAATAAGCAAATGTGGTGAAGAAAGCTGATGGTGCCCGGCTATCAAAAGATATAGCGTCTGGGGTCTTAAAAGCTTGAAGGTAAATAAGCGGCCATCTAGCTCAGAAGCGGCCACTAGAGATCCCCTTGCAGAGGGGTCTTGGGAGGAGACGAGCCAGTCAGGGTGTGAGGTAACAATGATGAAAAATACAACTTTCCTCTAGTTCCTTAATGTTTCCTCCCCGCTCCCACTACCATGACTCGAATTAGACCTTGCAAGTATGGCTAGACCAGAGGTTGTACACTGGTACAGATAGGAACTGGAAATACAGGGAATCCAGGGTGGATGAGCCCTACAGGACTAGTGGTGTGAGTGGCGAAACAGGGAGGGTAGAGGGAAAGTGGGTAGGAAAGAGGGAACCGATTACAAGGAACTATATGTGACCTCCTCCCTGGGGGACGGACAACAGAAAAGTGGATGAAGGGAGACGTCGGACAGGGCAAGATATGACAAAATAACAATTTATAAACTATCAAGGGCTCATGAGGGAGGGGGGAGTGGGGAGGGAGGGGGGAAATGAGGACCTAATGCCAGGGGTTTAAGCGGGGAGAAAATGTTTTGAGAATGATGTACAAATGCGCTTTACACAATTGATGTGTGTATGGATTGTGATAAGAGTTGTATTGAGCCCCTAATAAAATGATAAAAAAAAAAAGAACATCACATATTCTTTTCTAGCACTCAGACCATTCTCCAAAATAGACCATGTGTCATACCACTGAGGATTGCAATCAGTGACATGAAGCAAAATATGTATGAGTTGTTAAATGGAAAATTGATTTGCTCTGTAACCTTCATCCAATTCACACAAAAAAATTTTAAAAAATTATAAAGGTGTAATTTTCCCATTAGCCTTTTGATGTACCAGTCTTATCTATTCAACTATGAACCAGTTTTATCTTCCTGCTGGTTCTCTTACAAATGAGTTAAATAATTCTTCCCTATGTCTTACCCATAAAAATAAATTTTACAATTAGTTATAGAGAAGGATGTCAATCCAATAAAGATTATAAAATGCCATACACCAAACATCACAACAATACATTAAAAGTTCCATCCACTTCAAGATGGGAAATCAATCAAATACAACTTCTTTTCAACATTTTACTGGAGGATCTAGCAGGGCAACAAAATATAAAAAAGGAGACAATAGAATTAAAAAATATACTAAAATTAATAAAGAATTGAGCAAGCCTTCTGAATAAAAGGATCAATACAGAAAAACCTGAGTGTCTCTGTATTAAGTAGCAGAAAACAAAAATTTTAAGTTTCTATTTAAAATAGCATTTTAAACATGCTACCTAGAAGTTTAATGAAAGATGTACTAGACCAGTGGTTATTAATCTTCCTAATGCTGCGACCCTTTAATAAGAGTTCCTATTGGTGACCCCTCCAAACATAAAATTATTTCCGTTGCTACTTCATAGCTGTGATTTTGCTTCTGTTATGAATCAGGTGAACCCTGTGCAAGGTTCATTCAACTCCCAAAGGGGTCACGACCCACAGGTTGAGAACCAGCTGTACTAGACACTGAAAAGTATATACAATTGCTGAAAGAAATTAAAGAGGATAAAATAAATGAATGGTATACCATGTTCATGGAGACATGATATTATAAGAGACTACGTCTCAAATTGATCTAAAGTAGCACTATCCGATATCAATACCATGAACCATTAAGTAACTTAAAACTTTCTGGTTGTCATATTAAAAACAAATTAAACCACTGCTATGGAGTCCATTCTGACTTCATAGCAACCCTACATACTGTTCCTAAGGCTTTTCAGGGAGCAAACAGCCCCCTCCTTCTCCTGTGGAACAGCTGGGGGGTTGAACCAACAGCACTGCCAGGACTTAGATAAAAAGAAGTGGTACAATTAATTTAATAGTGTATTTTAATTTGAGAATGAGGAGGGCAACAAATGTACATACGTGCTCGACACAATGGATGTCTGGATGGATTGTGATAAGAATTGTACAAGCCCCCAATAAAATGATTAAAAAAGTGTATTTTATTTAATCCAACATATCTAGGCTATTTTATCATATTAAGCACTAATAGCTTACAATTTGTGCATATCTTGAGCAACAAAATATACTGTAAGGGGAGAGGAATGATGCCTAACTCACATTGTGTATGCTGCCCCAGACTTAGGACCTATTTGAACTAGGCATACAGTGTTACAGTTTTGTGATATACTTAGCTGATGTCATCATCATTCCCAAATGTTTAATAACAACATTCAATTTTATAATTTACTCTTCAAAAAACTGCAGTTTAACTTAGTTTTCTAAACTAAATCAGGGGCTTGGTTTCCTTTGCTAATAAACATAGGTTCAAATGCTGATAGTTTTGCTTAAATTCGCTAATGGTAGGCAGATAAGAGCAACAGTGAGATGTTAGTGTGAAATACATGGAAAAAAAAGAAAAGGAACATACAGGCAATTCTCATTAATTTTCTGACTAGGAATTAACAACAATGTCCAACTCTTCTTCATCATTCGAGTTAATTTTTATGATTTTTCTGTATTTTTAATGTAGATATGTATTGATGTATATCTGTAAATGTACATAATGTTTTCATTCCACAAAGTCAAAAACAGGATTTATAAAGATACTGGTAATAAAGAACAATACTAATTAAAGAGAGGCAGACGGAGCAGTATCTGACCTATAGCTGAACTGACATGAGTCAGTGGAATGAAATCAGCCCTAAATTGGGGACTACTCATACATAAAAATCAATTCTAGATGGGTTATGGATCTAAATGTATAATAAAACAATAAGCTTTTTAGAGGAAAGCACAGTAAAACACCTTCATAACCTTGGGACAAACATAAATGGGACAAAAATAACATGCTTACTTCCTCTTGATGGAAGGCAGGAGGCAATGTTGGTGAAGGTGCAAAAGGAGGTGGGGAGATGACCTTTCTTTCCTCCAGCTGGGCCATTATTTCTTTTCTTCGGCGATGTAGCTCATCTAGACTAGGGTGGGGCTGGGGAGGAGGCGGAAGCCGACTATAAGGCTCCTGAAAATGGAAAATATAGTTTCAGATTACATTCATTCATTCATTACATATTTTAATAAGCAGATTAACAGCCGCAAGGATTAATTGAACAAAAAAAAAATGATATAAAACAAACATCGCCAACACACACGCAAAAAAGCAAGTCTAAATTTTTCTTGGTCTGAGATCATACATTTCCAAAGATGAATGTTAATAAAATCTAGAAATCTTAATAAAACCACCCAAACTTAGAAATTAAGAAAATTTAGTAAGGAAGGTTTTGTTCCTGTAGTCATCTTTTAAAAAAGTATAACCTAATATATATATATATTTATATAGTATAACCTACACAAGTTATGAAAAGATTTTAAAAATGGGGGGAAAATTCTCATAAAAAGGTATTCTTTAGCATGTTCTTACAGTGGCAGAAAGACAAGGAATCATTGTAAGATGATTAAGTCCACATAATAAGAAAAATAAATATAGCATACTCTGAGGTATGGAGGTCTGATCTGAGTTGGGTGAGGAGCCACTGGATAGTAAGCCTCTATCTGCTGGCATCTTTCTCTGGATTCCGGAACATAGGGTGGTACTGCTGCAGGTGGAATCTCAATGGGTATAGGACTTTCTCGGAATATCTCCTCTCTTGTGTATGACTGAGCAGGATATACCCGACGGCCATCATAGTGTGGTGGGTACATGGGCGGATACTGCTGTGGCTGTGTTCCATACTGGGAGTTTACTACACGATCTTGGAGGTAGGGTGGATAATGATCCAAGTATGGAGGTGCAGCTTCAGGAGCAGATGGTGGAGGCCGGACAAAGCGGGACATACATTGTGGTGGTGGAGTATAGTACATACCTGTATAACACAACAGGAATCAAAAGCATTATGAGCCAATCTTCTATATAATGTTTTTCTTTTTAACATACTTAAACACTAAAGAATACAAAAACCCTGTTCCATTCACTTTAAAGATTTCTCCTCTGCTTATAGTCATGTTAACTCTAAGAAAAACAAACAAAAAAGCAATTTAAGAAAATTACAATTGAGTGGATTCTCAATTGTTTGAATCTCTTTCTTATGTCTTAATGTAACGCATGCAAGTTATAAACTATTCCCTGAATTTGTGGAAGCAGAGGTACCACAAATCAATAACTTACAAGAGTTTTAAATGGAAAGAAATGTAATACACAAAATACCCATTCTGTTGGTGCTGGTTTAGTTATCTGTGGCAAAACCCTGTCGTCTTTGCACCTGTGGTAATAGCTTCCAAATTTTCAGAACTTTGCCTCAAAAGGTGATCTGATGCAGGCATTAGCAGTTATGGCAAAAGTTTCTTATTTTTGCTTCTTCACTGCAACAAGTTCCCTTGGTGCCTCTGTCTATGGTATTCTGAGACTCAGTACCAGTATGTCCAGCTTAAGCCTGTTTTTCTATTATTCCCATTTTGCTGATTACCAACTCTGAATAAATTCTTTCTGCCTAATATAACTAAAATGAACTTTGTTCTTTTCAAGTGAATGCTGATGGACACACAAGATATTTAGGATTACACAATGACTACCTCAACAAAAGTGGTTGTGTTTTTCTTGGGGTCAAAAGGAAACTACAAATTATTATTTACTACATTTTCACTGAGCATACCAATTTAGAACTATTCTACTGAATGTACCTTCCCCCCCTCCCTCAAAAAAACAAACAGCCTGGGGAAAAGAAAATGTAGAGCAATTTAATCTATCACAGAGTAAAAAGTAACACCTCTTCCTACACTATCTCTGATAAGAGCCAACATTTTGGTTTTAAAATCAGTCTGAGTTTTACAAATAAATTGCATGTGAAACCTTAGTCATCTCCTTTCCTTCACTCTTTATACTAGTATTATCATTAAACCTGGCATTATAGATGGAATTGTGCCCCCATTCTCCACGTGCTATAAACCCTACACCCCATACAAGTGCATGCAATCTCATTTGGGAATAGTTTCAATGTCCTGTTAACAAAGACATGCTTATAGGGTGTATCTTAGACCAATCACTGTGAGACAGCAGGCACAGAAGCAAGGAAGCACAGCTGGGAAGGATATATGCCATGCCACCTGAAGACCAACAAGGAACAGACGCTGGAATAACCCAAGGGCCCTCCCCTAGAGAAAGTCTTTCTCTAGAGGTGCTGCCCTGAATTCAGACTTTTGGGTTCTTAAGCAATGTGAAAATAAATATTTGTTTGCTAAAGCCACTCACTTAGGCATTTCTACTGTTTGTTTTCTAAATCACCTTTCCCACGACACTAATATAACAACAAATGACCCCCTAAACCAAATCTATTGCTGCCAAGTCAAGGACAGAGTAGAATTGTCCCACAGGGCTTCCAAGGCTGTGTAATCTACAGAAGCAGAATACCAACCTTGAACCACCAATCTTCCAGTTAGCCCGTGTGTATAACAAACAATTGTTAGCAGATAGAGCAATTTGTTACTTTATTTCATACTATTCAGATGATCATACCTGTTTTTTCCAAAGTATTAAAATGTATTTATTTAAGGAGAACACTTGTATGATTACTCTTGGATAGTCCCCCCAAAATGGAACAACATAAACGAAAGATTATTACCCTGCTGATAAGGTGCTGTTTCAAATGGTGGAGCAGCTCCCCGAGGATCCTGATAATAAACATCTGCAGGCTGGGCTGGATATAACTGAGAACCTCGTGGCACCATCTGAAGTGGTTTGGTGACAGGCATGGGAGGCAGGTCTGTTGGCCCCCTTGGAGGTACAGGATGTGGATTCACAGGTAAGGCAGAAATACTCTTAGGGACAGATTCGAGTCTAAGGGAATAAGATTGTGAAAATCAAGTTTATGGTTCCTAAAATACTTCCAGTGTACCGTTAAATGTTTAAAAAGGAAACATCAAGTTCACTGCCACTGAGTCGATACCGACTCATAGAACACTATGGGACAGAATAGAACTGCCCTTTCGGGTTTCAGAAGCTTTAAATTTTACAGGAGCAGAAAAGCCCAATCTTTCTCCTTCAGAGGGCCTGGTGGTTTAGAACTGCTGACCATATGTTAGAAACCTAAATTGTAATGCACTACGTCTATGCCATTCCAACAGTTATCCTTTTTGAACTTTGCACAGGTGATTTTATTGAACCTATGCCAATTAATTCTCAAAGAGCACTAGCACAGAAAAAAGGAAAAACAAAACAAAATAAAGCCCCACAAAACGCTTTCCCCCTAAAAGATGTTTATTGTTCCTTCTTGACTCTACAATATAGAGAAGAAACTTTAGACAACAGTTAGGAAAAACTTACAGGTCAGGAGGGGACCCAGGGGCACTACTGCTCAGATGATCTATCTTTCCTGGTTTTAAACTAGAATCGTAGCTGGGGTCTGTCCCTCGTGGAATCAGCTGTGTGACGGTGGTCCCTGCTGATACAATTCCATTTGGCAGAGCAGACGCTTTTCTGCTGGGCAGATCCACTGCACCTTCATCTGGAAGGATAGCAGCTGCAGGCAGGCCCACCTCATTAAGTTGACCCAAAGAGGCACTCAAGGGCCTTCTGGGAACTAAGCGCTTGTTCATTTTACGAAATCTATATAAGAAAGCAAAGACACAATATCAGAAACCAAAAATTTTAAAACCAAGCTGAGGACTTAAATGTATTAATGAAGCAGATACAAAGAGAAAAGATTCCAAGCACATCATTTTCTACTATTCTCAGAACATTGTTTCTAACATCTTAAGAACTTGCCTGTATGTGTAATGTATAAAATTGCACACAGCAAGACACAGTAGTTAAGTATAAAAGTGTAAGTATAAAAGTTAGTAACTGTTCTTCACTCTATAGCAAGTTGCTAAAAGACCGGGTCTAAAGATATTCACAAGAAAGACACTTACTTTTCTAGCTCCTCCTGTGAATGTGCAAATGTACAGCTGGCTCCACGAGGGCATCCTCCTCTCTGCTTCATGTCTCGACACATGTATGTTTTATATTTGCTGTGCTGTGGAGGCTAAGACCAATATCACACTATGAGACACACAAAGACTTGAATTTTGTGTTGCTGTTTTCGTATCTTGATAATCTAAATGATTGATTCAGATTAATTCATAGACTTATCTAGACTACCCAAAACAAAAGTATTGGAAAGTCATTGTGCCTAAAATTTGTCTTTAAAAAATATATATATTGTTCTGATTCTCCTGATATGTTAATATCTTCAAATATTACATAAATCTCAGCATGTGTGTTTGCAAACAATTCTCTCTCCATATTTCATAATAGTTAAACTGTTGGCTTTAGGCAAAAAAAATTTCCATGTATTTAACTTAATTGCTTATTGCCAGACCTTAAAGAGAAGTCTTAGCTTTGCCCTCTTTTTATTATATTCTTCAGATATCTAATGGAATAAAACTGCAGTCAAGTTGATCCTGTTTTACAGTGACTGTGGGAGAGAGTACAACTGCCTTAACAGGGTTTCTACGGCTGAAAATCTTCAAGTAAACCGACTGCTAACATAATAAACGAACCTAGTTTCTATTCTCATAGTCTACCTAGCATTTGTTTGCCTTCCTTTCTATCTGTAGGCAGGCCTCTAGTGGCTGACCTCCAGATTCAACCTTCTCCCTTACCTGCTGTTGATCTGCTCCCTTTTTGCTGTGGTTCTGAATATAATCAACCAGTCCATGCACCACTGTACGCACAGCAACCAGACCATTTTCTAGCTGTTCCCAAGTAGGAGGAGGAGCATCTACACAGTACATGAAAAAGTCAAATTTTAAAATTGGTATTCAGAATTTTGCTCAAGATGTAATCTATAAAGAAATACATAGTATCAGCACATCACTGAAAATCAGGTTAAACTTTACATGATTCTTCATCTGAACATCTTTTAATAGAAATGGACACATTCGTTAGAAACTGGAATTGCAAATGAATATAAATATTCATTTTAGGGAAAGGGAAGGTGGCATAAGATACTTAAGTAGGTCATCAATATATGGCTACTGTCATTAGATTCAAGGAGTCCTGGTGGCATAGTTGGGCTGCTAACCAAGGCCAGCAGTTTGGAACCATCAGCCACTGTAAGCGAAAAAGACGTGACTTTTCTACTCCCATATAATTAATTACAGCAGGGGTCCTCAAACTTTTTAAACAGGGGGCCAGTTCACGGTCCCTTAGACAGTTGGCGGGCCGGACTATAGTTAAAAAAAAAAACTATCAACAAATTCCTATGTACACTGCACATATCTTACTTTGAAGTAAAAAAACAAACGGGGCAAAAACACCCTACGGGCCGCAGTTTGGGGACGCCTGAATTATAGTCTCAGAAACTCACTGGGGCAATTCTACCCTGTCCTATAAGGTTACAATGCGTCAAAACGGACTCAATGGCAGCGAGGGCTTTTTTTCTGGTTGTTTGGTTGGTTTTTAGTTACTAGATTCTGAGTACTGAACAGGCAATAATAATGAGTGAAAAAGAGTACATTGCGAGTCTAGTTTTGTGTTTAGTTTTTAAGAAAAGGCCAATTCACGTATTTTCTAGAATATCTGTGTCATTTTATCTTTCCACCTGTAATGAGTGTTTTAGTTTATCCACACCTTCCACAGTATTGCTGTTGTCATTATTTTTTATTTGTTAGGTGAAAATGCAAGACTATCACAGCAGATAAAGCATTTCTGCCCAGAGAAAGCCTAATTTAAAAAGTCTAAGAGAAGACCAATCATATGAAAAATCAATTAAAGCAACTTTGTCTACATATCATCTTCATTCAGGCTATGCTGGCACTGGGACTAAAACAAAACAAAACAAAACACAAACAAACAAAACAAGCCCTAAATCTTAATATAAATTATTCTAAAAATGAAACATAAAATGAAGCGAGAATACAGAAATAAAGATGAATTCCTCCCCGCTCCCACTACCATGACTCGAATTCT